ATTTTCTCTTGAGTGCTCTTATGCTACCAAGTGATACTCAAAATGAGTATTGCTGCTCCCACTGATAGATAACAGTTGTGTGCTGGCAGCATACAAAACAACAGAGTAAATGTTGTACTTTTGAGAAAAAAATTAAAAAGTGAGTATATTTTTAATAAGTACGTGCCAATGGTGGAATATTCCACAGATGAGCCCCAGCCACCCTGAGGCCAAATTGGGGGGCAAATCCTATTCCAGGCTCTTTGCTATCCATAGAAATTGGACCAGCTGACAATAATTTTGAGTATCTGTTTTCCCATACTATTAGCTAACATGATAAGCCATGAAGTGTTTCCAACTTTGACAACCTAGTAGGTAAAAATATGGTCTTTGACTTTGGCCTTAACATGAAATTCTGTTTTTTGTGAGGCTGAGTATCTTTCTGTATACTTAAATGGTATTTGTACTCTTTCTTTTGTGAACTATTTTGATCCTTTATTTCGTCCTGGGTTCATGACCTAATTTTTATTAATTTGTAGAAAATATTGAGGCCATTGGAAAAAAAATACAATACAACACAATAGAGAAAAAGGAAAATTTTGAGGCCAAATTCAGAGATGGGATATACTGAGAAATGATTTGGTACAAGTAGACCAGAGCAATGGTTATTGGGGAATGAGAGGAAAGGACCATAGAAAATGTAATGGTGGTCATTCCTGCACAGAAACAATAAGGCATCTTTGAAAGGAAACATGTTTTTGAAGAAAATGATCAAGAGAGAAAGAGGAATTGACTAAATATAAAAAGTTCTAATGAATCAAAGAATGAGATGAAATGAGACATTGGGGAAAAAAATGCACCACTTGTTTAAAATACCCAAGTGAGCTATGCAATCCCTCTCCTCTATTCACCTCAAAATATCTTCTATTGCTAGTTTGGGGGATAAAAAGCCAAAAATACAGCAATCAATTCAACCAATAAAACCACTGTTAAACTCATCCGCATGTGTCCAAATCCATACTTGCACAAAGTAGAGGAACATTTTAACTTGGCACTCCAGCAGAAATTTGATACTTAAGCAATTTCATAACCAGAAGAACACTATGAATCATTTTACTTTTTTAAAGACCCTCCAAATAGAAAAGGACAAACCACAGGGAAATGTGAAACAGGAGCTAGTCAAACTCAGGAAACACAGGAGCAAATGAGATACACATTTCAAGGTGGCGTGGTAGGCAGAATTTCTAAAATGTCCAGCCCCCAAACAATCCACTCTAATTCCCAGAATGTGAATATGAATCACCACTCCTGTAATTAAGGTATGTTAAGTGGCAACATGACTTAAAATAGGGAGGGTTATCCTGGATTATTTGGGTGTGCCCAGAGTTTTCTCCAGCCTGAGGCAGAAGAAGAAGTCAGAAACACTTGAATCATGTGATCCACTGGCTTGAGGATGGAAGGAGACACTTGTCAAAGAACTGTGAGCAACTTTTAGGAGCTGACAACCAGCAAGAAAATGGGAACCTGGCTCTTATAACCACAGGAATCTGAAATTGGCCAACTATGATACTTGAATAAGCTTGTAGGTGGAGTCTTCCCCAAGTGCTCCAGTTAAGAGCCTGGGCCAGCCAACCCTGGCCTTTGACTTGTGAGACCTTAAGCTGAGCCTGCCCTGTGTTCTGACCTACAGAGCTGTGAACAAAATGGGACTTGTTTTATGCCACTGACTTTGTGGTAATTTGTTACGGCAGCAATACAATACTAATAGAGTTCCCCATGGAACTCTATTGTATAGGGTCATAAAGGATAGAATAGAAAAGAGACAAGAAAAAGGTTCAGAAAGAACATAATAGAAAAGACAGGAAGAGGTTATCCAATATACTTATAACTGATTTCCCTGAAGGAGAAAAAAGAAGGCAAATCAAAGGAACAGAAGAAATATTTTAAGATTACAAATTAAAAAAAAACAAACTTTGTTGAAATACAATCTCCAAATTTACATATCACAAGGACCCCATCATGTACCTGGAAAAACTGAGAAAGAGTGATCAATTCCAAAACATATCTTAGTAAAGCTATTTCATTTTTTAAAGAAAATGTCCTCTGAACCTCCAGAAGAAAATGGACAAGTTTTTATATAGAAAACACAAAATGCAACAACAGCAGAGCAAAATTTTCAAAAAGCTAAAGAAAAGAATAGAGTGTGAGCCAAGATTTTATAACCAGAAATGTTTTGTAAAAAAAAAAAAAATTCTCAGGAAATATTGTACATATGAACCCCTTCCTATAAATAGAGACTTTTACAATGAAAAGATAAAGAATGATTTGGAGAAATTTTGGTAGTGACATACATATTTGAAGATCTGGTACTAAAATAAAGGCAGCGTTAACGTTCAAGGACTAATGAATGAAAGTTTTTGCTGTGATGAAGTAGCAATGACACAACTGAAAAATGCAAAGAGAAAGGAGATAGAAATATAGAGCAACTTGATTCATTAACACATAGGTGGAAATTGAAATATTATTTAAAGCGGACATAAAAGTAAAAAACCAAGTAAGAAAAAAAAAGAGGGCTAGAAGTGATAATAGAAAGGTATCAGTATAAACTTAACTTGTGGGAACCAAGAAAATGAACACAAAATATAACATAAAATAGCATGATATAACTGTAAAATCTTTTTACATTAAGGATATAGTTCTTTTTTAAGTATATTGCAACTACTGTCTCCCAATTTATCATTTAATTTTATTTTGATTGTTTGCCATGAAGCTTGTTTTATTTATTTGTAATAATTATGTCAATCTTTCATTTTATACCTTCTAGATTTTGTGTCTTTTACAAAGACCTCCTCCACTCTGCAATTATAGATATATATATTTATTTAAATTCTCCAATATTTTCTTCTAGCACTTCCATAGTTTCATGATTGACCCATTTAGTTAGGGAGCTGGAGAGATTGAGCAAAAAAGAGAAAACACTCATAGATACAGACAAAAGTGTGGTGACTGCCAAAGGGGGAGGGGTGTGGGAGGAGGTAGAAGAAGGTATAGAGAGGGTAAATAGTGATGGTGTTGTGGAATCGTGCAACTGAAGCCTGTGCAATTTTGTTAACCAGTGTCACCGTAAATAATTTCAATAAAAAAGAATAAAATAAAAAGTGGTAATAGACAAAAGCTTTTTCTTTCAAACAGGTTTTGTTAGCATCATTAGTGAGTGAAAACTTCATCTTTTCTTCACCAACATGTGATGTACCTCTTATTGTATAACAAACTCCTGTATGTTCTGGGAATTACTTCTTAGATCTCAAACTGTTCAATATATAGATCTCTTGTGTACCAGTAACACACTACAGTATAATACAATATTTGGTAAGGCAAGTCTCCTGCTATTAATTATGATTTAAAACAACTTCTTCACTATTCTTGGGTGTTTACATTTCTTTGTAAACTTTAGAACTACATTGGTTCTGACAGGGCATATTCATGAGTGATCAGTTTTGTTTTGAAATAATTTAATGCATTACATTATTATTTTTAATATGTAATCTTTATTATATTTTCCCATTACCATTTAGTCCCCTTATACCCCCTCCCCCCAGCAATCACCACCCTGTTGTCCATGTCCATGAGTCCTTTTTCTTTTTTGCTCAACCCCTCCACCCCCAAACCTCTCCCACCACTGTCTGTCATCTGCTCTCCATCTATGAGTCTTTGCATTACTTTAAAAAACCATACAATTTGCATATTATCTTAAGAGCATAACCAGTGGGGCACCTGCCACTAAATTCAGTATCGAAGTTTCCAAGTGCTCCTCTTCTTTAAGTGTATGTTCTTAGAAAACTGTAAAGACATCAGGCTTTAGAGTGAAAGGCTAAATTTGTACACCGCCTCAACTGCTTATTGTTTTATAACCTTGAGCCATTACTTAAGTTGGTTCAACGTCAGCTTCTTCTTTTGAAAAATGAAGTTAAAAAATGGCTGCCTTGTAAAATTCCCGAAACATTAGGTAAATTGTATTTTGAATAACTATGAAATATGCCAGATGGTTGGTGGGAACTCTCCGGAAAATAATTTCCAATAGATGTTGAGAACATCCTCATCTATAGTTCCATCCAAATTTCTCTCCTAACTGCAGAATTGTCATAGCTTGATCCTTTTTATTGCTCTGATAAATTTGTATCCATCCGCAACTACCATCTTTGGGAATAATTTTTATTTCCCCTTGTTTAGCACTTTCTCTTTTGTCACTCTGCTCCAAAAGTTTCCAAATTGTGATTATCTGTTATTTGTTTGCCTCCTCAAGGAAACTAGACTCCTCTTTGACGAGTCACTTGTCACTGGTCCTCCTGTCTGAATTCCTATCGTATTACGTCTCATAATTCATTCTCAAACTAAGCTGTTGATTAAACATACATACATTTTTTATGGGAAGGAGGAGAGTACATAGGACATATATATTTTGTACTTTTTCTATTCTTTGCACTTTGTTTAACAACAACAAAAACGGGTGGGGAGGAAGGGGACACTGCATCAGCCCCCAGAATTGATTTTCATCGTTATTTTGTAAAACTGCCTGAACTAGACATGGATGCCTGGCCGAATTGCGGATAGGAAGTACAGGCGCTAGAACAGGAAGTGCTGACCAATAAACAGCCATTCACCGAGGGGGCGGAACGTCCGCATGCGCAGAGAAAGTTGCGTGACTTGAGAACTCCCCCCCACCCTGCCCGTGGCCTTCCGGCTGAGCTAGTGGTAACGGAAGCGAGGCGAGACCTAGACGTGAGGCGGGGCCTAACCGAGAGCTCAGCGCTCGTACAGATAAAGGTATTTTCGGAAACTCGCAAGAATTTTGTGTAGCTCTCTCTTGGGGCAGGTTTTTTGGTGTCCTTATTGAAGTTAGACTGGTAGCCCGCTGTGCAGTTAGGATGTTTTACATAACTATATATCGACTGTGGAGTATTCGCCCCGTCCATCAGCGCACTTACGTTTTCTCTTCTTTTAGGGCCCCGTTTTATGCCACAATGCAAAAAGATTTAGAAGAAGCTGTGGATAGTGCGGATAGTGTCATTGAAAGTGCGCGGCAGAGGCCTCCTAAAAGTGAAGACCCACCTGGTGGGGAAAAATCTCTCCATGACAAACTGTATGACCTATATGTTGAGGAATGTGGAAAAGAGCCCGAGGTTACGGAGGAATTAATAAGCAATGTGCACTTGTTAGAAAAGCTTCTTCAGAGGGAGGACTTGCCCCGTTTGGTGGTCAACCTGTACCCAGGGAAGGAGGGCTATTCGCTGATGCTCAAGGGTCCAAGTAAACCATATTCAGAGACCATTCGACTGCCTTACGAAGAAAGGACATTTCTTGAATACCTGGATGCAGAAGAATTGCCTCCTGCATTGGTGGATCTTCTGGAAAAGTCCGAGCTGAACATTTTTCACCGTGGGTGCGTCATAGCAGAGGTGCGGGACTATAGGCAGTGCGGTGGTGCGGAGCCCCCTGCCTACCAAAGCAGGCATGTCCTCCTGCGGCCGACGATGCAGACGTTAGCCTGCGACGTGCAGTCCATAGCCAGCAATCACCCGGAATGGAGCCAGGAAGACAAACTTTTACTTGAGAGCGAGCTGATCCTAGCCACCGCTGAACCCCTGTGCCTTGATCCTTCTGTCTCAGTCGCCTGCACTGAAAACAGGCTGCTCTACAACCAGAAGAAGATGAACACTCCCACGATGAGAAGGAGCTTCAAGAGGTATTCCACAGCCTCCCTGAATCAGCAGCAGGAGCTGTCTTCTAGTCCGGCGCCTCACAAAAAAAGCAAAGAAAGTCAAGCAGCTCAGCAGGATGACCTCAACATTTCCAAAGCAGGAAAATGTGTGGATACGTGGAAACAGAGGCCCTGTGACTTGGCAGTCCCTTCTGAGGTGGATGTAGAGAAATATGCTACAGTGGAGAGGTCTGTCAAATACGATGAGTCACCACTAACAGTCTGGCCAGCCTACCAGGTAAAAGATGATAGTTCTCCATTTGGATGTGAAGCTGGTGATCAGTCCCAGAGAACAAAGCCGACCTTCATGCGGTCTTTTGGTGATCCACTTATCTCTGGAGAAAGAAGTTCACCTAAAAAAGCCACAGGCGGGAAACAGATGTCTCCCCACCAGTCCTCCACAGATGACCTTTCCTATAGTTTCCTGCCTGAGTCAAGCCTTGACACTGGCGAAGTGGAGAGTCTGTTTGAGGAATTGGTGCCCGTGAGCGCTGAATGTACCTTTGAGGTGTCAGCAGGCTCCAGCAGCTCAGCCCCTCTCAGCCAGCGATTAAGTGGCTTAGCCCCTCTCAGCCAAGGCTCCAGTGACTCAGCCCCTCTCAGCCAGGGATCCAGTGGCTTGGCTCCTCTCAGCCAGGGCTCCAGTGACTCAGCCCCTCTTAGCCAGGGCTCCAGGGGCTTAGCGCCTCTCATCCAGGGCTTCAGTGACTCAGCCCCTCTCAGCCAGGGCTCCAGTGACTCAGCCCCTCTCAGCCAGGTCTCCAGTGACTCAGCCCCTCTCAGCCAGGGATTAAGTGGATTTGCCCCTCTCAGCCAGAGCTCCAGTAACTCAGCCCCTCTCAGCCAGGACTCCAGTGACTCAGCCCCTCTCAGCCAGGGATTAAGTGGTTTAGCCCCTCTCAGCCAGGGCTCCAGTGACTCAGTCCCTCTCAGCCAGGGCTCCAGCTGTTCAGCCCCTCTCAGCCAGCTTTCTCCGGAAAAAGAAGCAGGACAGCCTCTGGCCATGTCAGCATCAGTGCTGGGGGAGGGAGTCCAGCGCACCCCTCCACCCATCAGCCTTCTCTCCAGCTCAGAAAACAGTTCCTTAGGTAATACCAGTTTGACTTTCCAGCAGGCAAGCAGCTTTCATAAGTTGACATCTCATGCCCCTGCTCTGAAGCCACTGAGTCTTCCTCAGAAACCCTTTTTGGAGGTGAAGTGTGTTAGCACACTTCCTGCAGCCACCCTGTCCATTGCCAGCTCATCAGAGACAACCCTGGCCAGCCAGTTCAAGGCCGACTCTGTTGGTCCCACCATCATCAGAGTGGCAGGCCCTGTTCCTGCAGCCCAGACTGTGCTGAGAGGTGCCAACCCTGCGAAGGGCTCTACTGCTAGGGCCAGGGCTCCTGTACCAATCAAGCCCAAAATCACATGCTCAGAAAGCCAACAGCTACCAAATATACGGCCTGAAGCACCACAGGCTCCTTCACAAGGTATTCAACTTATTTTTAAAAATGTTTCAGATCTCAGGCCCGTAACTCTATTCCAGCTTCCACCAGGTACACTCATTTTCAACACCCAGCAACAGCCACAGCAGCAGCCTCGTCTGCAGCCACGGCATCAGCCTCGTCTGCAGCCACGGCAGGCGCCACAGCAGCCTCAGCAGCATCCTCAACAGCAGCCACTGCAGCAGCCTCAGCCGCAACCATGGCAGCCGCCGCAGCAGCCTCAGCCCCAACCATGGCAGCAGCCGCAGCAGCCTCAGCCGCAACCATGGCAGCAGCCGCAGCAGCCTCTGCAGCAACCATGGCAGCAGCTGCAGCAGCCCCTGCAGCAACCATGGCAGCAGCCGCAGAAGCAGCCGCAGCAGCCTCAGCCGCAACCATGGCAGCAGCTGCAGCAGCCTCAGCTGCAACCATGGCAACAGCCGCAGCAGCCACAGCAGCAGCCACAACAGCAGCCACAACAACCTCAGCAGCAACCATGGCAGCAGCCACAAAAACCTCAGCAGGAACCATGGCAGCAGCCACAGCAGCCTCTGCAGCAACCATGGAGGCAGCCACAGCAGCTTCTGCAGCAACCATGGCAGCAGCTACAGCAGCAACCATGGCAGCAGCCACAACAGCCTCTGCAGCAACCGTGGAGGCAGCCACAACAGCCTCTCCAGAAACCATGGCAGCAGCCACAGCAGCCTCAGCAGCCATGGCAGCAGCCATGGCAGCAGCCACAGCAGGCTCAGCAGCAGCCTCAACAACAGCCCCTGCAGCAGCCTCAGGAGCAGCCTTGGCAGCAGCCACAGCAGCCTCAGCAGCAACCATGGCAGCAGCCACAGCAGCAGCCTCAACAGCAGTCACAGCAGCCTCAGCAGCAGCCACAAAAACCTCGGCAGCAACCATGGCAGCCTCAGCAGCAGCCTCAGCAGCAGCCACAGCAGCAGGCACAGAAGCAGCTTCAGCAGCCATGGCACCAGCCACATCAGCAGCCACGGCAGCAGCCACAGCAGCAACCATGGCAGCAGCCACAGCAGCCTCAGCAGCAGCCACAGCAGCCTCAGCAGCAGCCTTGGCAGCAGCCACAAAAGCCTCAGCAGCAACCACGTAAGCAGCCACAGCAGCCTCAGCGGCAACCATGGCAGCAACAACAGCAGCCTCAGCAGCAGCCACGGCAGCCACGGCAGCAGCCACAGCAGCCTCAGCAGCAACCATGGCAGCAGCCACAACAGCCCGAGCAGCAGCCTCAGCAGCAGCCACAGCAGCCATGGCAGCAGCCATATCAGCAGCCACAGCAGCCTCGGCAGCAACCATGGCAGCAGCAGCAGCAGCCTCTGCAGCAACCATGGCAGCAGCCATGGCAGCAGCCTCAGCAGCCATGGCAACAGCCACGTCAGCAGTTACAGCAGCCTCAGCAGCAACCATGGCAGAAGCCACAGCAGCCTCAACAGCAATCTCTGCAGCCTCAGCAACAACCACAGCAGCCTCGACAGCAACTATGGCAGCAGCCACAACAGCCTCAGCAGCAGCCTCGGCAGCAGCCACAGCAGCAGCCACAGCAGCAGCCACGGCAGCAGCCACAGCAACAACCTCAGCAGCCATGGCAGCAGCCTCATCAGCAGCCACAGCAGCCTCATCAGCAACCATGGCAGCAGCCACAGCAGCCTCAGCAGCAGCCTCAACAGCAGCCACAGCAGCCTCAGCAGCAGCCATGGCAGCAGCCATGGCAGCAGCCACGTCAGCAGCCACAGCAGCCTCAGCAGCAACCATGGCAGCAGCCACAGCACCCTCAGCAGCAACCGTGGCAGCAGCCACAGCAGCTTCAGCAGCAACCGTGGCAGCAACCACAGCACCCTCAGCAGCAGCCTCGGCAGCAGCCTCAGCAGCCGTGGCTGCAACCACATCAGCAGCTACAGCAGCCTCAGCAGCAACCATGGCAGCAGCCACAGCAGCCTCAGCAGCAGCTGCAGCAGCCACAGCAGTTCTATCAGTTGATTCCACAACCTATATTTCGTATTCAACAGCCAGTTTCACAGCATTCAAGTGTGCAACGCTCAACCCATCGAAGAATGATCTTACCTGCTCAGCAAGCTCCTGTCTCTAACCCCAAAGGAGCTGGAAGTGTTCGGCAGCCCCAGGTAGCAGCGGGGTCTCAGCCTGACTCTACCCAGACAAGATCTGGGCAAAGCCATCCCCAAGAAAGGGTCCAGCTCCCCTCTGCCTGTCAGCAGCAGCTGCAGCCCCAGCTGGTAGAGTTGAGACTCTTGCAGCTTCCTGTGCCTGTGCCAACTGTAGGTACCCAAACAGCTCAGCCACATCATGGCCAGCAGACAGCAAGTCAGTCAAAAGGTAAAATGAATAGAGGCCTAGCAACCTCTCCCAATTCCTGAGTCTTAAATCATAGGGGCATTGACTCAAAAGGTTTCTTTCTTTTTACTTCATTTTTGTCTTTATTATCTCAGTATTTTTCATTGCTAGATGTGCAAACTGGCCAGAAGAATAACCCTATGCTTTTAAAATAAAAACAGGGAAATAATTTAATGGGAAAAATAAGGAATGGCCTGTGAATGAAATGAAAATCCCAGTTCTGCAATTTACTAACCTTAAGCCTATTTCATAATCTTTCTGTATTTCCTCATCTGTAAAATGTAAACAGAAATATATACTTCTTAAGTTTATCATCAAGGTTAATGTAAATTAAGTATATTAAATATTGAAATTTAAATTTAATTTTTAATTATTAAAATATCAAATATTTGAAAGAAATAAATATAAGTATTTAAGCTGAAAATAAACTCTAGTAATAATATTAGTTCTAATAATAGTTCTGTTAATAATGAGTTAAATGACTCATATAAAAGTCAACCCAATTCTTAAACACTAGACTTAAAAATAATAAGTAAGGAAATTATTTATATATATATATATACACAGATATAGATTAGGTTTAGATAGATATAGATATATAGACAGATTTAAATCCTCTATTAATAAAAAGTAGCCCTTTTATTCTATCTAGATGTCCCCCCCACCATGGTGAATTTTCTGTCTAATAAAACTGGATGTATTAGGCACTTGTAATTCATTCTTCAGTAATTGAGGGATGATTTGGATATATGACTCAATATCATTTGCCAGACAATATTCTTCAAATGCATTATTCATGTGGTGCTTATTATTTTGCAAACACTTCATAATATACAAATGCACCTGCTGTCTGCCATTCATCTTGCTCCTCTATTCTGTCTCAATTATTTTGTCCCCATCAGACAGGATAATAATCACAAGAGAGAAAAGGTAAAAGTTTCTTGATTTATAATGGACAAGTGAGTGAAAAATGATAAGCTTAGATGAACTGATGAGACATATTACAACAGGGAATTATAGGGAAAAGTATGAATAATTGGGATAGGAAAATATCTTTAAATATATCTGTTAATTAAAAATGATTTTTGTAGCTTCTAAACATATTTTAGGATAATATTGTAAGGTAAGAAACTAAGTGGCTATATCAAACCTCTCTCTCCCAAAAATTTGAGTAAACTCAAACATGGATAATACTTTAAAAATATTTTATATGCAAGTGTAAAGATATATCACTCAAAAATGTCTTCTTCCTGATATCCTGGAATTGAAGACTGCTTGAAACAAGTGAGATATTGAAAACATTTAAAAAATATCTTTTGTTAAGCAGTTATTTTGTTGACTTTGATTGTAATGATATTTGCTATTGGAGCTACCCCTGTTGATGACTAGTAAACATCTTTCACATCCAAATATGACATTCATCATCTCCCCAAGCCTATCAGAACATTTACTGTTTGGTGTTAGAATAATTCACAAAGTAATAGAATTAATTAGCAAGTAATTTTAAATAATTAAAAAAAACCCCATAAAATCTATCTGTACAACTTTATCATCCCTAATACTCCTGCAACTTGTAGACTTTGAGGGATACTTAGAAAAATTCTCAGGCTTACTTTTTATTGGTTAGATATTTTATTCTTAATGGTTGGTCCCATTCACATTTAGAGTCAGAAAGCAAAAATAGTGAAATACAATTCTAACTGGGTGAAGTATTTTAAATCAAACATTCAAGTTTGACAATACTGCTTCCCCCATCCGTGCAACACTCGGGATCCCTTGAGCAGTCCTGTTTAGCACACAGAATAAGCTAGAAATAGTGCCAGGCATGCCAATCACTCATTTGAAAGTTTCAGTTCTTTTTTTCCCCCTATTTGTATAGGTTCCTCTCTTATTTTTTTAATTAAAGTATAGTTCACATGCAACAGTAGATCAGTCCCAGGTGTACGGCATAATGATTCAACACTCATATTCCTTATTATGCCATAACCACAATAAGTCTAGTAACCATAAGTTATTACGATAATATTGACTATTTTCCCCATGCTGTACTTTGCATCCCTGTGACTTTCTTTGTTATAAGTGGAGGTTTTTACTGCTTATTCTTCTTCACCTTTTTCACCCCTCCCCATACCCACTGCCTCCCAGCAAGCATCCCTTTGTTCTCTGTATCTGAGTCTGCCTGTTTCTGTTTTATTTGTTTGTTATGTTTTCTTAACAGCAGAACCACCACCAAATTTAAGGTAATGAATAGTATACAAAAGTTGTAGTAGAATGACTCCCGACGCTTGCAAGTAGATTTACTGCACAATATTTTCATCTGTGACATTTCTGACCATGTCACGCCCCTTTGCTTAATCTCCTTCCCTGCAGCTGCATACTCCCATGGAACCAAATTAAAACTATTTTGTTTGACACTGGATTTGGCCCATCACTCCTACGAATCTCCTAGCACTTCCCCATTCCCATCTGTGGCTTCTGCAGTACTTAAATATTGTTGCACATGATGTATCACATTCTTCATCAATTTCATGTGTTGGTGGAGACCCTCAGCCACAACTACTTTCCGTTCTCTGCTCATCACTTAATACTCAGCCTAAGCACCACCACTCTGGAGTCTGATTCTATTTCTATATTGTTTATGACAGCACATTTCATATTATTTCACAGGGTTATTTGTGAAT